ATCATTCTTGGAACTTAGAAATTTTCTGCTAACTTCTTGATTAAGGACAGCAACAGGGTTATCAACCTAGAAGATTAAGTTTAATAGTACTTGTACAATAACTTTTCATGCAATGAACATATTAAAATAATGTTATTTAACAGAAAGATTTCTTATACACGTACAGTTGTAATTAAAAACAGATTGTTGTATTGGAATTTAGACACAAGTTTCATGCACATACACGTAGAGTTGTAATTAGAAACAGATTGTTGTACTGGAATTTAGACACGAGTTTCATGCACATACACGTACAGTTGTAATTAAAAACAGATTGTTGTATTGGAATTTAGACACAAGTTTCATGCACATACACGTAGAGTTGTAATTAGAAACAGATTGTTGTACTGGAATTTAGACACGAGTTTCATGCACATACACGTAGAGTTGTAACTAAAAACAGATTGTTGTATTGGAATTTAGACACGAGTTTCATGCACATACACGTACAGTTGTAATTAAAAACAGATTGTTGTATTGGAATTTAGACACGAGTTTCATGCACATACACGTACAGTTGTAATTAAAAACAGATTGTTGTATTGGAATTTAGACATGAGTTTCATGCACATACACGTACAGTTGTAACTAAAAACAGATTGTTGTACTGGAATTTAGACATTTCATGCACATACACGTAGAGTTGTAATTAAAAACAGATTGTTGTACTGGAATTGAGACACGAGTTTCATGCACGTTTGCTAATGAATAACTGTTATAATTAGTTTCTTTTTTTTATATAAAGATGTACTTTATATATTTCAGCTATGAATTATACTCAACCTTTCTACAAGTACGAAATTACTCACACATATTGAATATATATTTGCTGTCCAAAAGAATTTTTGTTTGTCGGTTATTAAGCTACACAATGGGATATCTGAATTGCACATATCACAGATATTAAAAACTGGGTTTTAGTATTATAAGATTTCAGACTTACTGCTGAGCCACTGGGGGCACCATAATTAATATATTCTCATTCAATTTCTAACGTACAAAGAAACTTCAGTTAAATGTAATTATTAGTATAGCAGAATTTTCCCATACATACATAATTAGTTAGAAATAAAATTAATAAATATTAGCATTTATCTAATGGTAATTTATTTAATAATTTGTGATTGTTATGTATATACATTTAAAGTTGGTTTTTCATGAATACATGCACGATTTATAATCCTTTACTGAGCTTGTGATACTGATTTTGTTTTCAGGAATCTAAAGTCACACATATATATATAAAGATTTGAGAATTTACAAAATTGCACGGAAAATTAGAAATCACACTAAAGCAACAAGATGAAAAAGTTCATAACATAACGAAGAGTGTGTCATTAACTTTCAAGAGACACAAACACAAAACCAATTTTTACACAAACCTGTATGTTGAACTGATCTAGGATGTGGACCAATTCCTCCCTCTTGGATGAGACAAGATTACCTAAAAGATATTTAACATCTAAACGTAGAGATTTGTTAAAGATGATACTACAAATAGAGTTCTCAATACAAACTATTTTTTAATTACAAGATGGTGCTATTAAGACTATTAAAATGTTATTTTGTTTTTTTCTAACCCTAAAATTTGGATTTGATCATACAGAAATTAGCAGCTGTTTTGGTAATCATAATTTATGTAAAATGATAACAATTATTAGAAGTATTCTCATTGTTGTTCTACCAATCTATCACAAACAATAAAACTTTATAAATGTCTTTTTTCTCTAAATAAATAAAGAATAAATATGAAAAACAAGAAATAAGGTACTTACCCAATCTTTTTTTTTCTTGCTATCGATTGTCGAGAACAATTAAGCCTAATTTTTTTATAGTAATGATAGTAATGCACTTAATAATATTTATTCAATCAAATAATGAACTAAAGAATATATATATTAATAACATGCAAAAAGTTGACAAATTCCTTTACCTCTCAAAATTTTTCTGGCTTTCTAACTATGCAACAAGAGCCATTATAAATTCATCCAAGCTTGCTGTTAACTTTTCCACGGGAATGAGCCTTGTAATATGAGTGAAATTGACAATATTCTGTTCAGAACACATAATAGAATTTGCCATTTAATAGATGAAAACCTTGTCTTTCTATTGGTTATAGGTAATATATATAATGAAGAGTAGGAGAGAACTATCAACAAATTCTGAAAGAGGGGATGTGACATGTGGGTGTGGCAGGAGGGTTCCGATTTTCTATTCGATAGCTCTGTAACCAAACAAAATTGAAGACTATAAAAATTATGGTTTGTCTGAACAATGATGATTTTATAGTTATATTTTATAATTTATGTTGAATTTCATACTTTTTGGAGGGGTGATGGATAAAATAGAGAAGAGAAGATACCTAGAGATAATGTGTCACGTGTATCACACTAGGGGCAATTCAGGATTTTTTTTAATATTGCCTTATAGAATTAAGAACTTAAAACTTGTATACTATTAAAATATGGATTATTAGCTAAGAATTTATACTATTCTAATTGGTATAACGTAAACAAAAAGTAGTTTAATAAAATTTTGAATGTAAGGCACTAAAACCTTGTGTCATGCAAAGTAAAGGATACCTGGGGTGGTAGAGTTAAGTGACTTAAATGTGAGAGGATACAACAAGAAGAAATTATATGCTACACATAAAAACAGATTGATCCTACGTTCTGTAATATTTTATGTAGTGTTTTATTTTTAATTTTATTTTTTGGGGGGGAGGAATAAATGGAAGATCTCGAATGCTATTTGGTCACAAGTCATTATCTTCTCTCAACTTATTTTTATTATAAAGGCCAAACACTTGAGTATCTTACAGTAATCTATAATTGTGCAACAAAAACTTTAACACTGAAAAGTCGTGTTCTTAGTGATATTGAGAATGCATCCACCTTAGGTCACTAAAAAAGGCCTGATCAAAAAAATTACATATTTTCAAACACAAACCTAATTCCCCTTTCATTTTGTATGTACTAGTTCCATCAGAAGTGATCCTTCTTTCAATAGTAATGGTTGAGCCGTATTCTTCAGGTTTGTGTGCATCCACTCCTCTGTTTCTCAATTTTACAATAATTTCTGCTGACCTACAGTACAGAAAGGTCATAGGAGTTCAACATCCAGTTCTAAGCCACTAAAGTTTTTTTTTTTAATTTTATTACAAAAATAAAAAACAATTTGGAATGAAGCTTTTGAAAATATGACATTTAACATCTAAGCCCACATTGCATATATATTTTCCTGTACAATAGTTTAGGACTAAAATAGTAATTTAAATATAAATTATTGTACCTAAACACATCATTGTGTTAAACAAAGGGTAGTTCAAAAATGTCTAAAAAACTCCAAAACTTTCAATAATCAATTAGTTGAATATAATTAAATAATGAGCCTGACGATTAATTAATTAGCAAGTTCCACTAATCCTCCTGGCTCAATTGAATTTGCTTCCAAAAACATAAGAATGAAACTGATTTAAAAATGCATTCAACCATTATAATTAAGAAAGTGAGTAAATTTAATTAGCTATACTCATTAGTGGATTGATTTTTAATCTTAATCTACACAGATAATCTAATCTCTGATCAGAGGTTAATACCTAAAGAGCCAAGAACATAACTGTCTTAGTAATGAGCTTACATACACACACGTGATATTATCTTGAATTACTTTTAATTGTATCAAAACCTTACTGACTAATTATCCTATGCAACTGAAGGAATATCCAATGGTTAATAAAACCTAACTTGAGTAAGATAAGAATTTGTGTGTTTCTTGCAAGAAAACAGAATATGACTGTTTAAAATATTTTTTACTGATGGGTGAGTGTTGTTAGTTCAATTAGCAAACAGCATCTAATATTCATTGAGTCATTTAAACATTTTTAGTGAATTTAGTTGTTTTTAAAATGGTTTCACGAGTGGATTATAAAAGACTGAAAATACAGCTAGCAATGAAGGTACCCAACTAATAGCCAAGAGCAGAAGGGAACCAAGAGAAATACATATAACCATCAAAAACTTGAAATTATCCAAAGATTTTCTACAAAGATGATTTCATTGCTACAAAAATAAAAATCAACAGAGAAAATAATCTTTATAAAATTTTGTTTTTAAAATAATCTTTGTTTACGATTCAATTATTGTAAGAACATCACAACATAACGTACGTACAATTCTTTCAAGTCAACCAATAAAAAAATGCCTTACAGTTTTCCAGTCTTGATAAAGCCTTTTATGTTTGATCCTCGATTAGTTGCATGAGCTTTGCCACCTAGACCGATCACGAGGGCTGTTAAGATTGCACTCTTTCCACCTGAGGTAATTATAAATATTACTTTCCTTCGTGTACAAGTCTTGTTCAAACGTAATGGTATAACAAGCAAGCAAAATGTGTATTACTTTGAATTTAAAGTACATTTGCTAAATACACGTACATCGATGTGCCTTCTACTACAAGAACTGAATATGAAGAGAAAAAAATTAAACCTGTTGCCCATTTTAAGAAATGTAAAAGAATGTTTAACTTTTTACCTCAAAATTCCCAAACTGCTATACATCCAAATAAGAATTATAAATATCACCAAATTGTATAAAATAAAAATAAATTATCATTATCGCTAACTTGTATAACACAAAAATAAATTATCATTATTGCTAAGTTGTATAACACAAAAATAAATTATCATTATCGCTAAGTTGTATAACACAAAAATAAATTATCGTTATCGCTAAGTTGTATAACACAAAAATAAATTATCATTATCGCTAAGTTGTATAACACAAAATTATTAAAATCACTCACTTCCGTTGTGGCCTATGATGATATTTACGTTGGGTCCAAAACGAAAGTCAAGACATCCGTGACACATGAAGTTCTTGAGAGAAATTGACTCAATGATTCCAACCTCTGCTTCTTCCTGTTAAAAACATCACATCAAGTAATAGTTAACTGTTAAAAACATCACATCAAGTAATGGTTAACTGTTAAAAACATTACATCAAGTAATAGTTAACTGTTAAAAACATCACATCAAGTAATAGTTAACTGTTAAAAACATCACATCAAGTAATGGTTAACTGTTAAAAACATTACATCAAATAATAGTTAATTGTTACCTCTCCTCCAGCTAGATGTACTGTAACCTGTTAAAAACATCCAAATCAAGTAATAGTTAATTGTTACCTCTCCTCCAGCTAAATGTACTGTAACCTGTTAAAACATTAAATCAAGTAATAGTTAACTGTTACCTCTCCTGTAACTAAATGTACTGTAACATGTTAAAAACAGACAACATTAAGTAATAGTTAACTGTTACCTCTCTTCTAATTAAATGTACTGTAACATGTTGAAAGTATTGATATTAAGCAGTGACTTGCTAACACTCCTCCACAGTCAGTCTGTTGTAATCGGTACACAAGTTTTAATTACTTTATACGTTAGAACTATATATATATATGTATGTGTGTTAAAGGTATCTTTGTCTATGGTAGCATGAAACGATTTTGAGGTTCGTCCGTAGTCACTGCCGTGAGAAACAACATTGTTTTTTAATTACCTGTAGGATTACATGATGATTCTTTCTTTAATGTATAACTGCTAACATATAAAGCCATCAAGATAGCACATTGTGCACATTTTCTCCAATACTGGACTTTATAATTATCTTATAAAGCTTCTTTTTTCACAATCTTTTATAAACTATTCCAGGACTTTCACCTTCCTGAAATGTGTCTTTGTTGCAGAAGAAGTAAGTTGTGTTGTTGTATCACAATAAGGAACTGAAAAGGGCCGCTCGTTAGGAGAAGGATAATTTATTTCCTCGAAAAACAAGTCAGGCACAACAAAAAAGACATACTAAATAGTAATACGACTGCTGGCTTTATAAACTAACAGAAAAACAGTCCCTTTGGCCGACCTGTAGTACTTGACAGGAGCCTACATGTTATTATATATGTCTGACTATAAAAAGCATTATTCTCTATCATCGTAAACATAATTACAAGTGTAATAAATATAAAAATGATTATTTTGTGCAACTCATCTCTGCAACTTTAAAAATAAATTCTCCTACGATCCATAAATGGTCGTATTCTCATTAGGACGTTAATGCTTTCATGTTGTTCCAATACATTAGATGATATAAAGAAACAGCACAATCTTGTTTTTATATCTTCAGCACTTACCAAAGCATGTTTACAAAAATATCTTTCCATCACACAAAATTACCAAATGGGAAAAAAAAAAAAATAAATTGTCAAACTGAAACATACTTCAGTCTTAGAAAGTTGAGGATTTCTTGTCAGTGGGACAGTGACGGTTTCTGAAGGTGAAACCTGCCTGCTTCGTTTATTTCCTGGGACATCTGGTGAGGAACTTTGACGTTTTCTTGAGCCAGCCATATTTACAAGCTGCTTGAAAAAACCAAAATCTTATTTTATTAACAACTACTGGGTACAAACTCATTATTAAAATTTGAAGCATTTAACAGCTATTTAAAGGAAAAGATTGTTGCTCTGGAAACTACAGGCCAGTCTGTCTTACTTTTATAACAGAAAAATTATAGAACCTTGTAAAAAAATCAAATCATTTAGTAAAATATGATATTATAAATGAGAGCTAATACAGATTTACTAAACAGAAATCTTGTCTGTCAAATTATATGAAAACGTCACTTGTTACCTTGAAGATGGAAAGTGTGTGGATTTGGTGTATTTAGTTTCAAAATGCTTTTAATAAGGTACCACATGGATGTTTAGCTAAGCAAGTATGATATTGACGAAAGTTGTGGACTACCTAACAGGATTATTGTGTGATTGGCTGTTATTAAAGGAGTCCAGTCAAACTGGACCTCTGTTATTCCAGCTAAGATAATTATATATTTAAAACAGGGTTATTGGCTTATGGAATGAATCTCTGTTGGCAGTAGTTGAGGCTGGCACTTTACAAGTTTAAGAGGAGAATTGACAAATTCTTGAAAAATAAAAGATGGAACTCAAATGTTCCATTGTTGTCCATATGTTATGTTAAAAGCAAATTCAGTATAAGCCAAACTTTTACTGGACTCTGTGTAATACATAAAGTAGAATAAACTGAAGCCTAGTTTTTCTGCTACATCACAGTTAATCTGACTGACACCACAATGGTGTTAGTTCTGTAAGCTTTGTGCTACATCACAGTTAACCTGACTGACACCACAATGGTGTTAGTTCTGTAAGCTTTGTGCTACATCACAGTTAACCTGACTGATACTACAAACACAGCAATGGTGTTAGTTCTGTTGTCTTTGTGCTACATCACAGTTAACCTGACTGATACTACAAACACAGCAATGGTGTTAGTTCTGTTGTCTTTGTGCTACATCACAGTTAACCTGACTGATACTACAAACACAGCAATGGTGTTAGTTCTGTGGGCTTTGTGTTACATCACAGTTAACCTGACTGATACTACAAACACAGCAATGGTGTTAGTTCTGTGGGCTTTGTGTTACATCACAGTTAACCTGACTGATGCTATGAACACAGCAATGGTGTTAGTTCTGTGGGCTTTGTGTTACATCACAGTTAACCTGACTGATACTACAAACACAGCAATGGTGTTAGTTCTGTGGGCTTTGTGTTACATCACAGTTAACCTGACTGATACCACAAACACAGCAATGGTGTTAGTTCTGTGGGCTTTGTGTTACATCACAGTTAACCTGACTGACACTACGAACACAGCAATGGTGTTAGTTCTGTTGTCTTTGTGCTACATCACAGTTAACCTGACTGATGCTATGGAACACAGCAATGGTGTTAGTTCTGTGGGCTTTGTGTTACATCACAGTTAACCTGACTGATACTACAAACACAGCAATGGTGTTAGTTCTGTAAGCTTTGTGCTACATCACAGTTAACCTGACTGATACTATGAACACAGCAATGGTGTTAGTTCTGTGGGCTTTGTGTTACATCAGTGTTGACCTGACCCAATGCCACAAACAGAGAAATAATTATATCATGCCTTGTTCTTTTACACCATCAATTGATATCTGCATCCACGTTTTGAAGACTGACACACAACAATTTGAACAACATATAAATCTGTACCTGTATATGAGATTAATGTATGAAAGTGAGTGGTACCTGATCTGACCCAACAACCAGTAGTGTCACTGATCTACATGGTGCAGTTATCTTAAGTTCAGAGTATCCAAATGTTACACTTTGATGCTCAGCATTGGTATGTATAAGTTAAAAAAAATAAAAAATAAAAGAGTTAAGTAACTATAAAAGTGAATGTATTAACTACTTGATTTTATCGTCTTGCGTTTTAACTTCGGCACTTGTTTTTATGGCCATTATCAACAGGTAATACTGAATCTTTCACGTTTCTTTTCTAAACTTTATCTGATGTTACTTTTGCATTATTCAGCACACCCGAGATTTTTTTTGATTTCTCGTCAAGTGCCTATTTGGTTCAAAAAAAGTATCCAATTACCCTATTATTTGTTAAACTTATTTAAAAAATACAGAATTTTCATAAAACAATTAAAAGAGCATTTTCTTTTAAAAAAAAAATGTTTTCTGCGCCATTAATTGTATATTATCTGTTCACTTTTCTGCAATGTAGATTGTATTTCATATTCTTAAACCATGTAAAATTCATCTTATGCATACATTTTCCTTCACCTATAAATGTTATGGTCTGAACAACATAACTAATGTGTGTCTGCCCATGAGTGCTATACACACATATATATATCAGTAATGAATCTTCAAAATATAAACTTAACAAAATCATATGTAAGTGGACAAAAGATATCAGCGCCACCTGAATTGTTTCATGTGACTTTATCTCCCACATTAATATCCTTTCAGTTAATTAGTCTTAAGAGCAGGTATTAACTTATTCTTTTCTTTATATTCATTGTAAGTTGATTTATTTTTTGCAAGAAAAATGAGTTTGGAAACACCAGCTTCAATGTGATTAAAAGATACTTCAGTTTGCGTGTATTTGTAAACGTTTTTCTTAAATTTATAGTGCTACTTAATTTATTTTCTGTTAATGTTGTTATATGATGCCTTCTTAATACTTAGGTGTCTTTCTTTTCACCTGCTTTAACTCTTAGTACTGAAAGGAGGAGGTTGGGTTGCTTTTCATTTTGTATGATTGGGTAATATAACCTTTATTGTATTTAGTTTTATTTGTTTTTAATATTTTATATTATATTTCTTTGCTGTTATTCATTCTAAGATTTATACTAAATTATTTACATTTACTTGTGGTTTTGTTCTTTCTTTGATTTTATTATTGGGAACTATTTTCCCATAATTAACTGCAGACAAAGAATATGTAGTTAGGTTCAGGGCATTATGGGTACAAGTATCTGAATCTGGCTAACTACTGATTAAAGTTTTGTTCATATGTTATTGCACAGCAGATTTTCATCTGCATTGGTGTATAATTGAAAGAGATGGGCTGTCTTAAGTTGTGTTTATTTAAATGTTAGTATGTAATTATACACCACTCATGACATTATTACTTTTTTTTTGCCATTCATTTTTATTTTTGTATGCTTTATCTTTGGATTAAATTTATAAACATGTTTATAAATATATATGTATATATACTTGTGTGAATTTATGATTTATATATATATATATAATATTTTTATTTAAGTCAGGTGGCCCAGAAATTGTTTGAGCTAAGGCTTACTTTGTGGTAATCTGACGTTATTTTTTGGAATGAAAAGACGTGCCCTTGTCAACACAGATAAATACAAAACTTTAGTCTAGAAATGCATTAATTATTAGTATTAATGAGTGTTATTAACAGTATTAACTATTATGTTGCTACAAGTACAATGCCAATGATTGCAAATATGATAAAAATTAAGCTTCACTGAATCGTAGATTAAAAGCTTCAAAAACAGTCTAATTCATCCACTAATTCTACTGTATTACGACAAATACGTTATATTGTAATAACTTAATTACAGTGCAGCATTACATTTTCACTCAGTGCCACACTACGTCACTAGTACTACTAGTAGTAATACTATTACTATCGATAACAATACTTTACCAGTTGGTGTTGTTGCTTTTAACTTATCAGGCAAAAACACACACATAAGTAAGCCAACGATTTCAATTTTGTTTGAATCGATAGTACTTTTTTTTTTACAAATTACACGCTTAATAACAATCCTAATTTTGTTTTGAAACCGAAAATCATTTACCCGCCAGCCACAAAGAAACATAGTAATGACCTCTGGTACTGATTAAGAGTACTAAATAGTCAATATTAATACATTTTTTATTGTTAGTAACTTTACAAGGCTTTCGTATTTTGTAACTGCTCACGACGAGCAATTTTTCTATTATTACATTTAAAATTTAAACATATTAAATATATAAAGTCCAATCAAGTAACGGTGTTCTTAATATCAGTCTTTTTACTGTTGAACATTCATTGTCAAAAACGCTTGCTGGAAGAATAATTCAAATGGAAACACCGACATAACGTCGAAACATGTAGAGTCGTCAACTTTTTGAAGGCCATAGATAGACCTAAATAAAATGTTTTTAATTGTATACCAGTTTAACGTTGAATATTATTTATGATTTTAACTTTATACACAAGTGCCAAAATACTATAACCGACATAAAGGTCATCTCACGGCCAAATTCAACAGTAGCAAGATTGATCTTAAGAACACCGTCACCTTTTTGGACTTTATACACTAAGTATGTTTAATTTCTAAATGAAATAATGGAAAAATTACTTGCCATGAGCGTTTACAGAGTACTAAATATTATAAAAGTTAAATAAATAATTAATTTTGGAGAGTGTTTGTACGTGTAATAAAGGAAACTGTATTAAAAGCTTAACAGAGAAAGGAATCCAGGGCTTTCGCTAGGCGAACTTGTCATCCTCAGGGGCGAAAAAAGAAAATTATTTCTGATCAGCCTCCTGATGGCTCAGCGGTAAATCTAAGGACTTATAAAGCTAAAAATACCCGAGGTGGGCAAAACGCAATTAGGCCATAGTTTAATTTTGCTCTTAACAACGAACGAACTAATAGATCAAATGCTGTATGATTCCAAGTTACCATCTACTTAAACACCCCTTTTCTGGCGTATTTTATAAGGTACGTATGCATTAGTGGTGTTTTATTTATTGCATAAATTTCGAAAACAGTGCTTCATTTGATAGGTGTTCTAGCAGTTAATGACGTGTTTGGTAAGTTTATTAATTATATACATGATATAACAGATTAAATATGAAAAAGAAAAAGGAAACCCGCCTGTAACTTTTATTTTTATCCTTAAAATAAAAGTGACATTGATTACGGTCTAAAGAAATAAACATAATAATAAAGTAGTAATATAAAATAACAAATGATATTAAACATGATATTTCTTATATTTATCCGTGCATTTCTGATTGGACTATATTGCTGCTATCGGTCCCGGGAATCTGTACGGGGCCTATGACGAAATCAAATTGCAGATTTATTGTACGGTAAAGCCTGAAGAAAAAAAAATCATCTGTTACACACAGTTAAGAAAATAAGAAGTAATATTTGAACCAATATTTGCATGCCATAATTTCAAAATTAGTGCTCAACTTTAAACTGAAGATTTTTGAACTCGTGTCATCTTATATTTATATTTGCGCTTTCATGATTACGTTAAACGATCGATGACAGTAAACGTGAAACGAAGTGGAATGTTAAACTAAAGTTAAAGCGGTAGTTCAATTATTTGAGTCGACTATTTTTCACAGTAGTAAGACAGGTACAGTATTACTACTAGTAGTAGTACCAGTAATTTATTGTGGTGTGATGCATTTTTGTATATAATTTACATTTCAATATTATTATCTGCTTTGAATTTGCCTTTACTGTTACCGAGTGTTTAAATAAACAACTAGTTAATCACCTTGTTGTTCTACAGTTTTTATCCTGAGCTAAACTATTTCTTTGATGGCCAAGTAACAAAATAAGCAAATGAAGTTTCAACTTACAATTACTATAAATTATAACCAGAAGTTCACGTGAACTTGGTTTGTAAATAAATAATTATTTTAGTAAATTATGTACATCATTGTGTGATAATAACATAAACCAACGTTTATACGTGGATTTATCAGCATGGCTGCTGATGTGAAGCTTCTTGTAGTAGCTAACCATTCAGATCTGTTTCAATGAGATGGTCATTTGGGCTATCTACTGAAACTGTGAGGTGTGGAATTTAAATTGGCCAGTTATTGAAATTACCAGATCTAATAACATTATTGAGAGAGTAGGTTGTTAAAACTTGTTAGTGTACATAGTTAAAGTCTTGGTTGTGTGGTTCTACTAGATTAACTACTGAAACTAAGTGCTGTAGTTTATTTTTCAACGCATATCAACTCAGGTTTGTGATGCACATACTACTAACATTTGTTCTCAGAAAATGTTTAGTTAACCATGAAAACAGATCCATACATTTATTTTCAATATATATGATAATCATTAAATGCTTTCACAATACAAATCTTTTAATCAGTTTTGTACCACTCAGGATTGAGTTGTTTGTGTGTAACTTTAGGCATGGTTACTTAGGTGGTAAAAACATCAATGTTGGAGCACTAGTGTCACAGAGGGTCCCAGGTTGAAGTCCTGTTTGTGTCAGATTTCTTAGCCTCATGATACTTTATATTATTATTTCACTATTTGTTGTTCTACTACTTTATAACTTTAGGAGGTGAGTAGATGGCAGATGAAACAATATGTATACATGCTAGGTTCAGTGGCTGGCTTGCCATGTTGTGTTTCCAGGCGTCTTGAGAAGCCTTGTAGTGTAGTGTGTTAACTCAAGGGTGGGTCATGTTTCATTGAGATAAGTCATGTGATGGTCAGGATGAAGAGTTAACTGCTTGGGACTTGAACCCTTTCACATTCTACAGACTTCTGCTACTTCTTTATAAAACAATAGGAGATTGAGTGGAGGAACTCCAAGTAATAGATACTTGACAATACTGCCCAGTTGGTAGATGGTGAATTTGAATTCCTTTCATTCAGCTAATGAATTATTAAAAATATATTATGGTATATCAGAATTAAGGTATCTGCCCTGACTAGGTCTCAAACCACTGACACACAGCTCCCACTAGTGCTCAGAGCTCTTACCACTTAAGCTATGATCTTCATAGTGCTGTATATATATATAGATGAGTTGTGTCTACGCTTACTTGTATGAAAGAAAGTTTTATATTAATGCTTTCACTGCTGACACACTTTGTTGACTTGAACTACCACCAAAAGAATCGGTTTTTGGAGGTGTCATGTTTATCTTCTCTTGTCAAACTAAAGGTTCATTCTTTTCCTGTGTTCTCATCTTCGTGATCTTCAATCAGTTCCACACTATCTTCTTCAGCATAATAAACATTCTCATAACTCTCATCCTCAACAGAAAACTTGTCATCATTGCCAGAATAATTTCAATATCTTCAGAATAATGATCACGTGAACTTGAGATGGCCAAACTGTATCTGTTGATAAAATTCAGTAAATTTTTCTATCATAGGTGAATGTTGTGAAAATTAGTTAATTTTCTTAGTAGTCGTTATTTGCTCTATATATGTGGTAATGCATTCTTTTGATGGTTAACGTATATAATTTGAATAAAACAATTGATATACTTGGCATGCTCCTAAAACATATTGGTAAAACATGAGACGAATACAAAACCCTATATTCCAAGAACTTTCAAAAAAGTGGATGATTCTTCATCAAGGGTAAACAGTTTGTCAGCTATGGGGGTTTTGTGTTTCTATTTAGTTGATTTTTTTGAACCTATGTGTTTTTCAAAACGTCATAGTTTAAACTTGTGTTTTTACAACAGGGAATTGTCATCCATTCCAGTATAATCATGAATACCCTGTCAGTCAAACAATGAGGATGTACTTGTTACATCGTCGCAGCATTTTGTAGAATTAGTACTTAAATAAAGGAATTGAAAGCACATGTTTCATCTTAAGTAACATTATATATATATATTAAAATCAAATTGATATTTTCGAATATTTTATGAACTTAAGTTTCCATGTGAAGTTAGTAAAAATTTATTTTCTTGGAAACTTTAAGTTAAGATATTTTTGACATATTTTTATCACTATGTATGTGTCAAGATGAATTATAATTTTGTTGTAAATTTTTCCAGGATTTTTACTCCCCACTATGACAGCAAAGCGGTTTCCATGGAGATGGGTGTTAGTGATTCTGATATTTCTTGTTGCTGCTGGACTTTACTATGACATTCATGTGCACGGTTCTTTCCAGAGTAAGTAGAAATGAACTTTGTGTTGTAATTTTAAGAAAATTGCTGATTAATGTTTATTCTATTAACTTGTAGTAGCTATTTTGTCTAATAAGTTGTAATAGTAACATTTATGTTTATAGACATTACCAGTGAAAACCATTTTTCTTCGGTAAAGTAATCCATAACTCAAAATTTTATTTCAGTAATTACTTCTAGTTAACTAAAGAAGAATCTTAATTTTAAAGTAGAAGTAATTAATTGTTACTTACAATGATTGTAATAGGCAGTTAAAATATCCTAAACCAAGATTGTTTTATTTTTACTTATAAATGAAATATACCTACGTAGGGCTAGCTCATGTTAGTCGTTACAAAAATTGGCCTTCACCAGACAAGATTATCCAAGGGATTAATAGGATAAAGGCCTCTGAATTCTTTGTAATGTGTTCTGAAGACAATAGGATGAGAGGCCACAAGTTTAAGGTTAGGAAAAGACAAGCAAGGCTCTAGTTAAGAACGAAGACAATAGGATAAGAGGCCACAAGTTTAAGGTTAGGAAAAGACAAGGAAGGCTCTAGTTAAGAACGAAGACAATAGGATAAGAGGCCACAAGTTTAAGGTTAGGAAAAGGCAAGCAAGGCTCTAGTTAAGAACATTTTATTTTTCAACAGGGTGATTGGCTTATTGAATAATTTGTCGTTGGCAGTAGTGGAGGCTGGCACTTTACAAGAGTTTAAGAAAAAACTTGACGATTTCCTGAAAAAAAAAAGTGGGTTTAAATCTACTTTTCTCAAGAGTGGGAACAATCTGGAAGGACCAAGTTGTCCCTTTTTGTGTAGGAACAGTCTGGGAGGACTACATGGTCCATTTTTGTGCTGTATATTTTTTTACTGACAGGATGTAAAGACAAAGTGGTCCCTTGTTGGCCTGTATATTATTTTATAATGGTATGGAAGGATCAAGTGGTCCCTTGTTGTCCTGTATATTATTTTATGATGGTATGGAAGGACCAAGTGGTCCCTTGTTGGCCTGTATATTATTCTATGATGGTATGGAAGGACCAAGTGGTCCCTTGTTGGCCTGTATATTATGTTATGACAGTATGGAAGGATCAAGTGGTCCCTTGTTGGCCTGTATATTATGTTGTGACAGTATGGAAGGATCAAGTGGTC